CAAATGACGAAATGTTTGACACTTTGAAGCAACGAATGAGTGAAACATTTGGCGACAAATGTGTTGAGAAATCGCGGAATTCTTCACTCGTTTGGTATTCAATGGATTCAATGGACACAAAGTGGACGCAAATCTTCAATTCATTGCAATCATTGAAATGTGAACTTAATTTCATTGACCACTACTTCGTCGCCAACCACTCCATCGAAACGGCTTTCCTATCCCTCACGGACTCCAATACTAATCATTAATTTAATAAAAAAACAAATGATATATTCATTTAAAATTGAGTCAAACATTAAATTCTGAATATAAATATTGTATTTATTTCTATGTTATATCAATTGATTGATTATAAAATACACTCAATTCGTAATGAATAATAATCACATAATTCCTAATATATACAGTAATATAGATATTTTATAATTTAAGATATTTTAAGATATTTAAGAAATTTTTTATTTTAGTTAAAAACTTATGTAAACCTCATATTTATTTTAATATTTTTGTCTATATTATTTGTTTTTGCTTAATTTGAGATTTAAAAACCATAGTATACTGTATTTACAATCAATGTCTCCATCGTGGGTGCACCGGGCGTTTGACTACCGGCGCCGGTTTTGCTCTCATAATGTGGCTGTGATTATAGCAAAAGCTGAACAGCCGGCGCTTCGTTATTGTAAGCCTACTACGTGTGTGTCTAACGGCACCGGTAGTGATGACAGGAGTGAGCGCCGATACCGGGACACCAACTTGTGGTCCAAAATTTGCCGGCAATGGGGTTGACGTACGCGAGGGCGAGAATAAGATGAGTTCGGGTGATAGCACCTGTCCCCCACTGGGGCCCACCACTGACGTGGATGGTTGAGTGCGTGTGGTGTCGAGTTGGGCCGGGGATGACATCGTGTATATGAAAGCACCGGCGAGTGAAAGGACTGCCACTAATTTTCTGCGAATATGTGTATCAATAGTCGATTCAAACAACGAGTCATTTAGCACTCAATTACTTGTGATTAGTATTGAAGTCAATGAAAAACTACTCAATTATTTCAAGGCATGAGTCAAATATAATATGAATACTGAACTGTACTTTATTTCAATTAGTAACACTAAACTCATACCCAGCCACAATTACCTGTTTATATTAAAAAGTAACATTTTTCATACATGAATCAGGTAATAACTATGATCTTGGTAACACACTAGTTTTTTAGTTTGAATAGTATTTTGTATTCTATACTTTACTAAAAGTGTAAAATATTGAATATCAGATGATGTCATGATGAAACATGATGTGTTTCATGACATGTTTAATATCATTAAATGAATATATGAGTAGTATTTAATAGTTTATATACTTAAAATTTTATTTTTAATTTTATTTCAATTAATATTTTATGGATTATATATTTATAATATGTTAAAAGTTTTGTTTATAAATTATATGTTAAATAATAAAAAGGGTGCAATGTGAAAACTAGTGTGCAATGAATTATTCCGTAACTGTTTTGTTACTCTCAGTACTTGTATTACTGGCTTCGGCAGACTTCCAGTCCACATCTGGCACTGACACCTCTTTTAAGTTAATCTGAAAATACCATTAAATTCATTTAAATCTTAAAAAATAACACAAAAGTCATGTCTTAACCACACATACCTGGTCATCCCAATAACACTTGTGAAGGTAATACGCGGCAATCACAGGTATAGGTAATACCTGACCAAGAATGAAAAAATCAAACTTATCATAAAACATAAGATATGAAATGATTTTCACATTTTATAACTTATAGTCTACTACAGTACTACTTTGTACTACACAAAGTACTGTACAAATTATAGTAATTTACTTATATACCGTAGTATTTAATAGTTAATATACTTAAAATTTTATTTTTAATTTTATTTCAATTAATATTTTATGGATTATATATTTATAATATGTTAAAAGTTATGTTTATAAATTATATGTTAAATAATAAAAAGGGTGCAATGTGAAAACTAGTGTGCAATGAATTATTCCGTAACCGTTTTGTTACTCTCAGTACTTGTATTACTGGCTTCGGCAGACTTCCAGTCCACATCTGGCACCGACACCTCTTTTAAGTTAATCTGAAAATACCATTCAATTCATTTAAATCTTAAAAAATAACACAAAAGTCATGTCTTAACCACACATACCTGGTCATCCCAATAACACTTGTGAAGGTAATACGCGGCAATCACAGGTATAGGTAATACCTGACCAAGAATGATAGCCCACCCAAGCCATGCAGTCCACGAGGGGTAGACATAGCCACGATATACCGGCGCCGAAGTCGTAATGACTGTAGCGATCAGTAGTACCTTAAAGTATGAAATAGATTACAGAATATTCTGGAAAATGATTAGCACATGACTTACGGTGAGAGCTACTGGTGTGATGTACTGCCAGACAATCTTCCAGAATATTCTGGGTTTGGGATACCGGCCCACCATCTCTTTGATGTGGTCCATGAACTTGTCGATGCCGTATATCCACGCGATGGACACCACTTCCACCAAACCCACAATCATTGCCGAAGTGGAGGCCACGAAGTCGTTGAATAGTGAGAACCAATACATGCCGGCCTACAACACACCGGTGCGGATCGATATATGATATGGAAATACAGCTTTTATTATAAGTTTTATACGAAATTCTTTAAACAATTCATTACTTGATTGCAGTAAATGAGCCCTAAGTTAAAGCCAAACACACAGAAGAGGATGAGTATTACAATACGGTATTGACGTCTGTCGGGCCGGTAGTCCAGCGTCGCTGACACCAGGCTCTCCATGTTTGGGGTCTGGGATCCCATTCCCAGCAAAATCAACATAAAGAAGAATACAATGGAAAATAGCTGTCCCCACGGGAACATTGCCACGGCCTCGGGATAGATCATGAATGCCAGCCCTGACCCCCCGGTGGCCACATTAGACACCTCTACCTGGCGCTTGTGTGCGACGGCACCCATGTATGCAAATATGACAAACCCGGCCGAAATACTGGTGAAACTGTTCCCGGGGTTTGAATTAGTGTTAGCTTTGGTTAAGGATTAACTGAGTTGTGGTCAATAATTATGAGTGAATACCTGTTTCCCACGGCTATTATAGTGGCGTCGCTTATCAAATGGTTTTCAAAGTCATTATAACTTGCCAGGGTTATCATTGTTCCCCATGATATGCCTAATTGGGTTTAGGATGGATATTATCATTCAATTGATCCGTTAGGTCTCTCTCTCTCTCTCTCTCTCTCTCTCTNCTCTCTCTCTCTCTCTCTCTCTCTCTGTCTGTCTGTCTCTCTCTCTCTCTCCCCTAAACTCATACCTAAACTAAAGAATATCTGTTGACTCGCATCAATCCACACCTGAGATCCAAAAAGTTTTGTAAAATCGGGGGTTATGTAGAATTTGATGCCATCCCAGGCCCCCGGAAGGGTTATCCCCTTTACGAACAGTATAATGAGACATAAATAAGGGAATAATGTCGTGAAATACGATATCTATTTTGAAAATCGGATCAACAACTCATTAAATACTATTAAAAATGCTTTAAAAAGTCATTTTCACTCACTTTTCCCATACTTTTAACCCCTTTTGCGAGTGAAAGAAAGACCAAAAGCCAGGCGAGGAATAGACAGCCCACGAGAGGCCACACAAGTGTCCCAATGTTTGAGATGTCATCATTGATATGAAGCACCTGTTTGTGAAAGTACTCATCACTTGGATTCTTAAGGGCCGTGTCGTTCCCAATTAGGCCTTCCGTACAGTTCAACCATTTCGAGTCTGAATATAACATACGATAGGAAATGTTTAGAAAATTGATTTTTTCATGAATTAATGCTGTTTTGAATGTAATTATCAATGAGTGGTATGATTGGATGGCTTACTGCAGTGCTTCCACGGGAGGTCATCCGTGGTAAAGGAGCCAAAGAAGTAGCGCAGAGAAATAGCGACTAACATATTGTAGTACACGGCCTGAACGGCTACCATAATAAACCTGCGGATCAAATACAGTCAATGTATTGAGAGATCTATCAAATTTGTCAACCAAATCATACATACATGGAAATACCGATGCCTTCAAATATAGGCATGATTCTGTTCAATTAAATAGTAATATTAAAATATATTATCAAAAGTTATTTGATGTGCAAGTTTTGGTACTCACTTCCAAACACTGACTTTCCCTTTGGCTGTAAAGCAATTAGTTAGCGATTAATACAAATTTATTACACATTTTTATTAACAAGGTCTAAGCAAAAATTGTGATAAACACCCGAATACTGTCCTAAAGTCATCTCAAATACCATTAGAGGAAAGCCAATGAACGCCAGACTTAAGGCATAGGGTATGAGAAACGCTCCTAAAAATCAATTCATTAGTAAATCACTGCAACAATAAGTGGTGAAAATTGGTGTTTTTAGGGAATGGTATGCAAACCTCCGCCGTTTTTGTAGCAAATGTATGGAAATCTCCAGATATTGCCTATAAATATATGACAGGAGTTGAGTAAATAGCTATGAAATTACGAATAAAACAAAGCAATGATTACCGAAACCGATGACATAGGAAAGGCATGTCAAGAGGAACTCTATCTTTGTGCCCCATTTTTGCTTCTTATGCGGATTGTTGTTATCAGTCGGGGGTTCAGTGGACTCCATGTCTTTCTTAGGCTTGTCTTTATCATCCATTTCAAGAATCTTTGGTTAAAACAAATGATTTTTTTGCTGTAAATAACAGTTGTTTTCAAATAACTTTAAATATTCTGTTTGATTACAGAATTGTATTTTTAGGCTTATGTCGCGCGACACTAAAAACTGTTATTAGTTCCACAATTCAGTTATCATTGAATGAATAGCTTTGACAAACGGTTTGACAATTAAATACAAAGATTTAAATTCTTATCGAGTTTTTTGATAGCATTTTAGACAGTATTTACAAAATTGATACCAAATCTGAAGAACTAATAAACTGTTACTCCAAGTGATAGTTGTTTCTCAAGACATGTGTGCCTTTTGTGAATTCTTGTGTCAATCGCTGTGTTGTTGTATTAGTTTTAATAACAAACCACAGAATCAGATGACAGCCCAGAGACTATCGAGGAATGAGAAAAAATCGATATATTCGGACACAAAGAGGTCGTCCACTCCATCCATAAAGAAGTCGACAGTCCCTGAAGTGGTGGGCCTCCAGACGATGTCTAAAGTGGATTCTGATGCCGAGCTTCAGGCCATTCAATTGGCGCCCAATGAAAGCCCCTATACTTACCTCCAGGGGAAAGGCTATTATCTTGAACCGCCGGCCACTGACCCCAAAGACCCGAATCTGTTAGGAAAGGGATCCTTTGGGATGGTATATAAGGCCACAATGAGTGTCAAAGATGGACAACAGATAAGGATTGCCTGTAAAGTACTCGAGAAGACCAGAGTTATGACAACAGAGATCTATAATCACAAGAGACTGAAACACCACTTCCTAATCACGACTTACGACACGTTTGTCATCAGTTATGTGGTTATGAATAAGAGACAGAGAAAGGCATTCATTTTGATGGAGTACTCACCCAAAGGAAACCTCGAGGAAGAGATGGATAATTGGCCCAAAGGTTTGGTCGACACGACAGCCAAACACTACTTCGGAGAGATCGTCGAGGGTATGAGATATCTGCACAAGAATGGTGTGGCGCACCGGGACCTCAAGTTAGACAATATACTTCTATTCCCACCTAATATGAGGCCTCCACTCATGGATATCAAGATCACGGACTTTGGGTTCACAGAACTGGCGTACGTCTCGGGACAGGGATATCGAATGGACAGTAAGACTCCGGGCACCAGACAATACATGTCACCAGAAATACTAATGAATATTGAGTCGAAAAGTACAAAGAGTGGACACAAGAAGTCATACAATATTATAAGAGCCGACATCTGGGCATTAGGTGTCGTGGCCTACAGACTTTTGACCTATAGATTCCCGTTTAATGTGCCGAATAAGAAAGTGCTAGAATCTCAAGGAAAGGCTGCATATGACAGACAAATGAATGCCGTTATTGAGGAACAGATGAATAGGCGTTACATTCCTAACAAGCGTGTCAGTCGGGACAGGGCTGCCACTGATCTCATCGAAAGGTGTTTAACTCCAGAGGAATGTAAATATGGCTTCAGAATAGACATCGACGACCTAATGATGCACTCGTGGCTCAAAGACTACACCAGTTTAAGCCATTAATAGCCACACATTATACACACCATTCTTACGGCTATAGTACAGTATTTGAAGTCATTTAACAAATAGTCAATTATCTCATCGTTTTGATCGCTATTTAAGTTTTGTTTTCAATTATAAATAACTTATTTCTTGTAATTTTCATGAATTAGTTATATCTCTCATTACTTTTGACAAAAATATACATTAAAATCAAAACTATTTTTTGTATTCATTTTTATTTAAACCGAAAGTTATAAAACAGAAATTCAATTATATTTTATATAATAAGCAAAAAATTAACAAAAAATTTAAATCAAAAACAAAATCATTAATAAAACAAAAAATTTTGACTCAAAATAATCGAGTGTTTATCGCAGGGATAGGGCTGTCAATCGCTAAGTACGGGCGCTGAGGGCACCGGGACTACGACGGTCTCGCTTTTGCCTCTATCGTGACCACCGATGGACATGTCTTTAATCCAGTCCTCTATCTGTTTCGTGTTATACTTCATCGAGGGCCTCGACTTCTGTGGGCCGGTAGTCGACGAAGACTTTGCCACCTCTAGCGCCTCCACCGCACCGTTAGTCGGCTTTCTAGCGCCGGCACTCTCATCGTACGTGGCGTTCACCGCGCGATCACTCCTACGAAACCGACTGTCCATTCGCTGAGCGTCCAGCGCCGGAGGGACCGATCGCTGTCTCTTACGCGGGGTAGGGGTAGGCCTACGGAGGTGATCGCCAAAGATACCGGCGCTCGCGTACTTGTTCGGCCGATTGCGGCAACAAGTCTCGTGTCGGCCCACGTTATGCAGGGCTATGCGGGTGGCGGTGCACCGGTAGCCGTCAAACCAGCGACACTTGATGCGACACTCCCGGAGCCACAGCTCGATCTCGCGGCTCAGGTATCGCGACTGTTTCGGTTTGAAAGAACGCCCGTCCATTGGACAGGTGGGCGCTGTGGGCGACACCTCTGCGCACCGGTACATACAGTGATAGCAGGCGTTGTGTCCGCAACCGGACAGTGAGATGCCGTCGTCCAGTAGTAGACCACAGAACACACACTTGGCATCGATGGGCACCTTTAGGCCGTTAGCGCCGGTAGATATGAGAAGTAAGTCGAAACCCATTCGCCTATAATGTGCGGGTTTTGAGCGGAAAGTTGTGTTTTTGAGATAACTGTTTGTCTGATGTGTTGACTATCACAACGGATTTATCGGTTGTAATAATGACTGGTATTTAGTTTTGTGTGAATTCAAGACTGGTTTAGATTTCGCGAGACTTTGTCATCACTCAGTCTAAAGAGTTATTTCATATGATATTTATTACAAATTTAAATGTAATACAAATAGCAATCTAACGGTAAATTAAAACTACAGTTGAGTTACAGACAGTTATAAAGTGAAGATCTTTTTATCAGTTGATAATAATGTGTCGATTATTGGAGTGGATGTGTTGTCCACAGAAGAAGCGCCCGAAACCAAAGACTAAGAAACGATCGAAACCTCGACCCAAAAGGGATGCCAATCCAGAGGGCGATCCTAATAGTGGGCCAAAAGACAAGTGGACAGAGTTTGCAAACAGTGATAGCCTTAAGAAATGGATTCGCAAGTATAAGATACCCGAAGAATTTCAGACCTCAAAGGAGTGCCTAAGCGCTCATCATTTGGTGCAGAAGGAGGAGTTAGGGTCGGGTGCCTACGCGCACGTGTATCGGGTGGTCAGCACCGACACCGGTCTTGAGAAGGCCGTCAAGACACTGAAAATCGA